TGCGGACAGGTTACCCCGGGCGTCGGGGTGGTCGCGTCACGCCGCCTGCGCCGTGCTGATTGGCCCGCGCGCGGGGCCCCGCCCCCTCCCCCGTAGCCCGGCCCCGCCCCCTCAGCTGTAGCCGGGCCGGCTCCGGCGTGCCCGCCATCTTTGTTGATGTGTCAGCTCCGTAGGGGTTTGGGGGAACCGCGGCAGAGAGGGCGAGCTGCCGGCCTGCTCCTCCTGGCCGTCTCTGCCTCCCACTCCACGTCTTCCAGACCCCGCTATGAAAAGTTGGCTCCTGAGCCGGAGCTCCAGCAGCCTCGTTAGGGTGCGGCCCGAGGCTTGGAGAAGTGGGGTGAGTGCCCTGAGGGGCGCCCGGGTGGACTGGGGAGAGGCGTTAGCGGTGGTAGGGCTGCCCGCCTTCGGCGCCGACCTGCGGGCCCCGGAGCAGAGTCTCCTCTCGAGTGGCAAAGCGATCTCTGGGGGACAGGGTTCGGGGTCCCTTCCTCCGCCTGCCTCCCTTGAGTCCGGGGCCGCTGGGGAGGCGGCGGCCAATGGGTCTTGGGGCACCAGTTGGGAGCGGCCGAGTGCGGGCCCATCGGTTGGGCCGCAAGTACGGGCTGCTTAAGCCCCACCTGCTCAGCATCTTGGAGACCCTCGTCTTATTTCGCTTTTCGTCTTCAACTTGATTCTTTCCGTGTGTGTGTGTGCGCGCGCGCGCGTGTGCTTTATGTTTACTGTTGTGGCGACTTGTTACCTCCTTCCAAACACTTTCGTAACTTTGATTTTAAGTTACTTAGAAACAATTTTGAGGGATCGTGGGCGCGAGAGAGATGACTTTTTGTTGCGTTTCTTCCAAGGACATCAAGGCATGTCATAAATCCTGTTTGCGAAGGAAGGGATTTCAAATTTGTGACCCCGTCCGAAGTGTGAAATGGTCAAAACCCCTCCTCCCCTTGCATTTGTCCCCAAGTAGCTATCCTGAGGAACACTCAGGTGTAATTATTGTTCAGCTGTTAAGAGTTTAACAGCTTCAGCTAATATTCACATCTTGATTTTGTTTAGAGGAAGGAGGCCTCTAAAGTCAACAGCTGGATTAGAATCTTCCTTTGACCTTCATAGTCTAGTTACTTATGGGAATCAGAAGATCAGTGTAATAAAGATACTCAGTACAGTCACAGGTACTTGGCAGTGTTCTCTCCGTGTGTGTTATATGTTACTTTGATGCCCTGTTTTTTACATCCTGCAAAACGATAGGCTGGGCGATTTTCTACCAGTAATATGAAGTCAGTCAGTGATCCAGTGTTTCAAGAGGTGTGCTGGAAGTCATTAAAAAAAAAAAAGTAATCTATTAAGTGTTTAGGTATGCTAGTTGTGGGTGTGACCTCCCCAGCTACTGACTACACCTTCCTATTTGCAATGTTGATCTTGTGGAAAAGATTAAGGTTCAAGATACAGTGGTAGTGAAACTGAACCATCTCTGTGAACAAAGCAGCATTCCCTGAGCAGCTACTTTGAAATTTTTACACATTTTTGCCGTAGGTCAGGGATGCTTTCCAGAGGGGGTGGAGAAGCACCCCCTAAGGGAGGAAGTCCAAACCATAATGCCTTCTCCAGCACACACACACATGCCTGGTGTGGTTTTCTAGGCATCAGGTCTGGGTCTTTAACTGCACAACCAAGAGGAATCCGCCCCTCTAACCGCTATGCAAGAAGCTAGCCCACTTTTTTCATCCGTCACACAAATAAAAACAGTGATGTTTGACCTGGTTCTTGTTTTCCTCTCATTCTGGTCTTAACATATTATTATTTTAAAGATTTTTTTTGCTATACGCACGAGCACTTGCAGGAGAGACGGAGAGAGAGAGAGATCACCTCCCCGGGGGGATGGCTATGCTGCAATCCCTTATCCAGTCTCCTCTCGGGATTTTGGGTACGCATGCACAACCACCAAGTGTGTTTCAAGCCTCTGGGTCCAGGACTTGAACTGCAATCAGCCATGTGCAAACCTACTTCCTTAACCACTATACCACTTGCTGGCCCCTTAACGTATTAAATTTAATGAAGATAATGGTATTCCACAAATCTTACATTATGAGGGATTCAAGATTCTGATGCACAGATTCAGTTTACATTGGTTTTATTCCCAGGAAATGCATGGGTTGTGTTTATGTATTTTTTTAGGGCCTTTAAGGTCTAATTCAGAATACATATAAACTTAAGTTCGTTTGTTTTAAAAAAGAGATTTGATAGAGTATCGTTGACATCTCAGTGTCTCATTTATTGCTAATAGAAAGGAATGGCTAGCATCTAGCAGTGACTGCTATAACCTTTAAGTTTCTTCACCCATAAACTAAATTTTGTCTGTGCTATACAATAACGTCAGAGTTGATAATTGCTTTAGTATATTCAGTTTATTTTATTTTTTTAATTTGCATATTCAGTTTAAAAACATGTATTGACATGCCAACATCATGGAGTAAGGGTGAAACAGTGCAGTGTATTTACTCTTGAGAAGAGATGAGTTGAAATTACTTACATGTGTCCGTGTGTGTGTATGTGAGTGTATGTGAGAGCGAGGGGGGGGGGTACCTTTGATCCTCCCTGCAGCCCGGCAGCCCTCCAGGTCATGGGCTTGCCTGATATGTTCATGTAGACCCAGACAGAACACGAACCCTCCCCAGAAGCTTTCCCATACAGCCTCCAGGACCGAGCAGCAGCATAGTGCCTGCACCACCACTGCAGGGCCTAGGAAATCATTTCTCTGTGAAGAACAATTTGTAATCTGCACTAGTTTTCCAAATTCATCTAACAGTTTAGTGTTCAAGTACAAATCCTTAACCTGAAGTTCTGGTTCTTCTTATCTCTACCTTTAAATTACTGAAGCCTTGTTCTTGAATTTCTCATAAATATACCATTGGGCATATAATATTATGAATATTATATTTGTATTCATCTTAGGATCACAAGTGGGATGAATATATATAAAATATATTTTTTTTTTTTTAAATTAATGTATTTTTTCCATGAGAGAGGGAGACAGACAGGAATCCCAATGGAGTCTTCACACTATAATCCATCTCCAGTCTCAGCCAGCTAGAGTCACAGGCATGCATTCCTGTGTCCAGCATACCCAGGGGCGCCTGCAAGCCCAGTACCTTTATCATGTGGGTACAGTTATGTTATCATTGTGACATCCCCTGCCCCTCTCCTTCCCCATCCCCCCCCTTTTTTTGAGACAGAATGTTTGTATTGTCCAGATTGGCCTTGAACTTGAGATCCTTCTGCCTCACCCTCTTGAGTAGCTGGAGTCATGTGCCAGTGTGCTTGGCTAATCATAGATAATTTAAATCTACAGAGGCCCCCTAATCTTAAATTGTTTCAGAGTTATCCTTTGAACTTTCTTATCTACTGAGATTTTAAAAATTTATTTGGGCTAAGAAGTAAATAAAAGAAAAAGCATTGGGGTAAAGGAGCAGTAGACACAAAGAAATCAACCCCAGCCAGGGTACTGATAGGATTTTAAGTGTATTTCTTAACACTCATCTGTAATTAAGACACATGAACTGATACTCTACAAGATTATGTAGTAAGTGCTAATGAACAATTAAAATTTTTATTTTATGTATACTATATCATATCAAATTAACCAGAGATCAAAGGTGGTTTCACGATTTAAATGTTAACCAAAACTCTTTAAGGCACTCGGACAGCTTATCTTTGAAAAACATTTTTTTGAGTTATTGGCCTTTCGTTTTGAAGAGAAAACTTAAGATCCAACAATTTTTTCCTTCCTTTAGTTTTCAGATTTGAAATAAAAATGAGTTGAAAAATATTTTTGTTTTCTTTCACACTATAATCCATCTCCAGTCTCAGCCAGCTAGAGTCACAGGCATGCATTCCTGTGTCCAGCATACCCAGGGGCGCCTGCAAGCCCAGTACCTTTATCATGTGGGTACAGTTATGTTATCATTGTGACATCCCCTGCCCCTCTCCTTCCCCATCCCCCCCCTTTTTTTGAGACAGAATGTTTGTATTGTCCAGATTGGCCTTGAACTTGAGATCCTTCTGCCTCACCCTCTTGAGTAGCTGGAGTCATGTGCCAGTGTGCTTGGCTAATCATAGATAATTTAAATCTACAGAGGCCCCCTAATCTTAAATTGTTTCAGAGTTATCCTTTGAACTTTCTTATCTACTGAGATTTTAAAAATTTATTTGGGCTAAGAAGTAAATAAAAGAAAAAGCATTGGGGTAAAGGAGCAGTAGACACAAATCAACCCCAGCCAGGGTACTGATAGGATTTTAAGTGTATTTCTTAACACTCATCTGTAATTAAGACACATGAACTGATACTCTACAAGATTATGTAGTAAGTGCTAATGAACAATTAAAATTTTTATTTTATGTATACTATATCATATCAAATTAACCAGAGATCAAAGGTGGTTTCACGATTTAAATGTTAACCAAAACTCTTTAAGGCACTCGGACAGCTTATCTTTGAAAAACATTTTTTTGAGTTATTGGCCTTTCGTTTTGAAGAGAAAACTTAAGATCCAACAATTTTTTCCTTCCTTTAGTTTTCAGATTTGAAATAAAAATGAGTTGAAAAATATTTTTGTTTTCTTAGATTCATTAAAATGCAAATAGCCCTACTGAAAGTGTGCCTTTGCAGGAGGGCGGGGTCACTTGTGAGGCCCAGATTCAGATCTCAAACCTTTCTGAACAGGTCCTGCTCAGTAGTATGGGCCTGTGACCCCAGCTAACTGGGAGGCTGGGGCAGAAGATAGCAAATGGAGAGACCCTGTCAAAATACTCTTTCTCCCTTTTCTTCTAACCCCCTTTTCCCTCCCTCTCTCCCTCCCTCTCCACAAAAAAAATAAAAGTGCCATCTATACAAGTAGCTTCAAATTAATATTTCCATATTAATAACTCTAGGCACTAATACTTAAACATTTATTGGAGACACATAAAATTGTAAAGATATAAAATAACCAAGCTGATAATGACATGCATGATATATAAGTAGATAATGTCATATATGAAGTGGCTACTGACTCTTAACCTGGGATCTTTGTGAACTATAATTTCTCTTTTTCCTGTTACCCTGCTACAGAATTTGGTACTGTTTTGGGGTTCTCACTGCACTTACTATCCTGAGTCTTTTAATATACATGTCTGTGTGTGTGTGTGTGTGGGGGGGGACACATAAAATTCACCCTACCTCGAGTCTTGAGTACAGAGTTAAACTAACCCCCAGGGCATAATTGGCCTTGGTCTCATATAACACACTTTCAAACTGGTGACCTAAAAGCAACTTTTTTATTCTAGTGCTATGTGTCTCTTAAAAGAAAC